GAGGTGATCCTGCCCCTCTACTCTGCTCTTGTGAGACCTCACCTGGAGTATTGTGTGCAGTTCTGGTGTCCTCAACATAAAAAGGACATGGAACTGTTGGAACAAGTCCAGAGGAGGCCACGAGGATGATCAGGGGACTGGAGCACCTCCCGTATGAAGACAGGCTGAGAAAGTTGGGGCTGTTCAGCCTGGAGAAGAGAAGGCTGCGTGGAGACCTCAGAGCAGCCTTCCAGTATCTGAAGGGGGCCTATAGGGATGCTGGGGAAGGACTCTTCATTAGGGACTATAGTGACAGGACAAGGGGTAACGGGTTAAAACTTGAACAGGGGAAGTTCAGGTCAGATATAAGGAGGAAATTCTTTAGGGTGGTGAGGCACTGGAATGGGTTGCCCAGGGAAGTTGTGAATGCTTCATCCCTGACAGTGTTCAAGGCCAGGTTGGACAAAGCCTTGGGTGGCATGGTTTAGTGTGAGGTGTCCCTGTCCATGGCAGGGGGTTTGGAACTAGATGATCTTAAGGTCCTTTCCAACCCTAACTATTCTATGATTCTATGATTTTATCTTCAACACTGAAAGAATTTGCTATACCCCCTTTTTTTTTTTTTTTTTATTTCTTGCAATTATTTTAGATGTTAAACAAAATACAACAGCAATTTATCTTCTGCTTTATACTGGACAAAAATTGGGGGTCTTTCCAAAGAGAAGCCATAATTGAAAGGGTAGCTTGCACTTTATCCCATGCAATGGGTGGCAGTAAGATCTTTCGGTACAAAACCCCACTACAGCCACGCAGGTTGTATTTATGTGTTCGTTGCCTACCTTCATTAGCAAATAAACTGGTGCTGCAAATCTCCCTGTCAGAGTATAAAACATTTTAAAAGTCTCTTTCTGAGTTAAGCAAAGCTTTCCTGGAAAACACGACATTGAACTTGGTGACCGAGATGATAGATAAAACCTGGACATGAAAACAGATAAAGAACATGTAGGAACACTCCTGAGAGAATGCTGTGGTCATGTGCTGAAATATTGACTCTGCAATTTACTGTAATTAGGGTTTGATTCCAGTACCCATGTGTGCGGTGGTCTTGTCCTTTCTAAACGCTGTTATACAAACAAAAAGACAGTGGTAAGAGAAGGGAGAGAGAACCTGCGTAAAACTACATACATCAGGGACTCTCTCTAGAAACAGCATGATCCACGGAGGTTTAAGTACAATGTTTAGAATAAGCAGCTCTTGAGTGATAACCCTTGCTCTGACACTAACACTCTGCCAAAGGCAAATTATTTTACATCTGAAAGTGGAAATGATAGCTACTAACCTGCTTTACAGGAGATTTGTGAAGATAAATTAGTTAATGTTTGTGCAATGTTTTCAACATGCAAAGTGCTATAAAGCTCTACAAATTATTACCTTGGCCCTTGCTTTAAAACCTCAGCGAGGAGTCATAGAATACAAACTACAATGCAAACTACAATGTCCACAATTTCAAACACCATGCAAATGAAATCTGAGCAAGCTGGATTTTAAACCCCCGCTAATTCAGTTCTACTTCATTTCTTCTCTTCCAGTAAAAAGCCTGCCCTTTAAAATCACTTTTGCAACATGCAGAGAAGAGCTGCATTGCCATCAAGGAACAGTTGCTGATGAATTTTTCTGGAGGGGCAAATGCTGCCCCACTTCATGGTAGATAATGAAAACCAATGCATTTTTTTGTTTCATTCAAAGAGAGGACCCAGCAGCAGGGATTTCTTTACTCTTGGAAGGATTTTGAGACTCTGTTCTGATTTAAAGGAAAGTGGAAGAGAGAAGTGAATTTATCTTGCTCTTTCTACTGCTAGGGAAATCAATTATTCATCCTCTTATAGTTACTCCTCTCTACATGTGGCAAATTTCTGAGCTCGGTCATGCCGCACCACAAGTGGTGGTGAGCAATTGCAGGTCAGCTCTGCAATCCAGCACTGTATTCATAGGAAGGAACTAACAGCTTACATGGACTTTACTTCATAAGGCCAGCATGTTTATGCTTAATATATTGAAGACTGGAGCTATAAACATACTATAAAGCACGTGAGTCAAAAAGAAGCTGAGGCAAGATGCTGAATTTAGGGTGATATTCTCACGATGAAATATCAGCTTAAAAAGCGGTGGTGAAAAGGTTGGCCTTTGTCCCATGACCTTTGATCCATGCACACATGCAGCTGGTAATAAAGGTTTTGCAATATGAATATTGCGTGCCCTTGGCAAAATTCGTGTAGCTACATTAGCTTCAAAGGAGTTACACCAAAGGCAATCACTGGGTATGTGACCAGTTGTTCAGGGGAGATGTCATGTTTGAATTCAAGCTGTTTGAGAAATTGTCCAGTTGTGTAAAGAAGCGTGAAAGCCCTGCCTGTGTTCATAAGCATCTCAAACCTCAGCCGTAGAGTCTCCTTATGTATCTCATGACCTGGGCAGGACCTGGCCACAAAAATAACATGTTTGTGCTCACTAAAGTGGGAGGATGGAATTCACCACAGCCCCTTCAGCTGCACCACACTGAACTGCCAGCAGCAGGTGACGGTCTCCTGTTGTGGCTATCTGCAGTGTGGGAAAGAAAATGTAAAGGGGAATTTGCCTAGTCTTCCTTTGTCAGGAATGAAGGAGAAGTTTAGTTAGGATCAAATGCTTGGGTTTAAGTGCATTCGTGTAAGGGCAATGTGTGATGGGAGGTGAAGCGGGTCTGAAATGTTCCTGTGCACAAAGCAGGTAGAGTCACAACTGCACAAAAACTTCTGCAAAGCAAGTATTTGTTCTTTAGCATGTTAGGACAAGACTTGGGCAAGTTTCTGCACTGAGTTCATATGCGAAGGATGTTTTCTTCTTCTTACCTATGTTTTGTCTGGTTTTCAGTTGTCATTTTGAATCCTTTCTTTTTTGAGATTTAAAAAATTCCATTGCCTTCCACAGTGGTAGCTTGATGCTCTCAGCATGTCTGTCTAGAGGTACATAGCTTTATTTAGTATTGATCTACAGGGCTGATTTGAGGTTCATTTCTTGGTTGTGTTAATTGTGCTTCCCTGGCAGTGTTCAAGACCAGGTTGGACGGGGCTTGGAACAATGTGGTCTAATGGAAGGTGTCCCTGTCTGTGGCAGGCGGTTGGAACCAGATAAGCTTTAAAGTCCCTTCCAACCAAAACCATTGTGTGGTTCTATGGTTCTTTTCTATAGTGCAAGCTGCAGTCATTAGTGTGCTCTGAGGATGATTTGCAAATCTTCCATCCCTAGAAGGTGATCCTTTTTTCCTGGCCCTCTTGTTTTTAAAGATCCTCCTATTTGTCTAAATGAAGGAAAATGAATCATATGCACATGATGATTATGAAGTTGCACTGCGTGAGCATCTTTGAAGCAAATTGCATTAATATTCTATCATAAACAGGTTCTCCCCTTAATTACAGCCACAAACCCAATTGTATGAGTAGAGTTCCTTGGCCATTACTGATGTCTGAGTTTACTTCAAAGTATATCTTTCACATTATTTACAAAATATAATCAAACCAGAATGTCAGCTACAACATACTAAAGCTGACTTGTAAGGTAATTCATCTTAATAAATTATTACAGGGCATGGTGGGAAGATACATGGCTAAAGATGTGTGGTCAGGCTTTGTGCTAAGGTAAGTAAATGGGATGGTTCTTTGCCTCGTTTACGACAGTGACTAGTTGACTTACCAGAACAAGATTATACAGAGGAAGTTGACTGATAGGAGACAAGTGATGCATCTCTCAGAGGAACATGCATCACAGCTGAAAGTCAAGATACACTCAGTGGTTGTTTTGCAATCTATTGTCTTCCAGCACCTTGTGATAGACACAGGCATTCAGCACTGATCTCTCAAACGTCATGTCATGACTTCGGTTCTGGAGTTGCCAATTAATCATAACAGTTCTAAGGCTTCATATCCTATTGAGTAGATATAACCCAAGTCCTCACAAAACCTTTATGCAGAAATTACCACCAGTGTTTAACAAGTTTGAGTGTTGAATCATGATTTACTTGGAGAAATCCCAGCCCAGACAAGTGGCACTTAAATGTCGTATTTACATGCCTGAGTGACAGGACAGAGCTTCCTCCCACTTTCCGGGGAGGGAGAGGGGAGAAGCTCGTAAGCATAAGTATATTTTATTGAATAGCTTGGGTCTGCCTTTCTGTGCAAAAGATGTTTGGGGAGAAGGAGCACTCTGCATGGTGCTTAACGTCCATGTATGTCCCTGGAGCCCCTCAACACCACTTGTATTGCTGCGTGTTTAGTAAGCAACTTGCTCCGTGGAGCAAGGAGCTCTTTCCCCCTGCCGGTGCAGAGCAATAGGAGCGGCTGCGCAGATAGGGACCTGGTTATCCTTGTGCTAACGCGCGCATACAGGCTGCAGTTTTATTCCACACACACGTACCTGGCCTCGCCAGCACAGGGCTTAAAGTGCCCAGAGCGAGAACAGGGCTGTTGGCAGAGAAGCGAAGCGGGCTCTGCTGATTTCTGGGGAGCAGAATCGGATTTAACCTCCGGAGCTGCTCCCCTACAAAATGCCCAGTCCTTCCTCGCCCGCACTCCTCTGGCGGCGGGGTGGCTGCAAGGACGCTGGGGAGCAGGACGGGGTCGATGTGCCTTCTGCCGGGGGGAAAAGCTGTGCCAGGGTCACGTCGCTTTTTGCGAGCAGCGGCACAAATGCGTGCTCCTGCCTTTGGCAGCGGTAAGGAAACGGGACATCCCCCGCCCCAACAGGAGCAAAGAGGGGCGACTGAACTACCTTCCACCCCACTCATCCCTCCTCTCATCCCATATCCCGGGACAGGTGGCGAGCCCGCCCCTTCCCCACCGGTTCCTCCTCCCCTCTTCTCCTTGCTCCCTCCCCATTTTTCTCCTCCTCGGCGTCCCCAGAGGGAGCCCCTGCTCTCCGCGGCTAGGAGGAGAGCGCAGCCGGGCGCGCCCCGTCCCGCAGCCGGCTCCAGCCGCTCCGCAAGCAGGAGGAGAAAGGCAGCCAGCAAAGCGAGCAGCCCGCAGCGGGGCACGCACGTGTGCGAGCAGCCTTTCGACGGCCACCCTCCAGCATGCTGCGCGGAGCTGCGCGGGGCAGCGCGGCGGGGAGGAGCTGACTGCGGCCGCGGGAGAAGAGCGGAGCAGCAGAGCGGAGGAGCGGCTCCGCGGAAACCGCCGTTTGTCCGTCCCGTCCGGCCTCCCCCCGACACACACCCCTCCGAGGAAGCCGGCGGTCCCGCAGCATGGGCGGCCGCAGCCCCCTCGCTGCCGCCGGGGCCGCTGTCCTGGTGCTGCTACTGGGGCGCTTCACTCTCTGCTTCGCCGTGGAGGAAAAGAAAGGTAAGGGAGGGATAAGGGGGGGGGGGGATGAGGGGTCCCGCTGCCGCTTTGCCGGCTGCGCCCCGGGAGACTGCGGGAGCCGAGGTGCGGGCGGCCTCCCGTGGGGAGCGGCGGAGGGAAAGTCCCAACTTCTTTCCTTAATTAAAAAAGAGAGGAGACGGCGGGGGGAATAAACCTATAGCAGCGATCACGCAGCTCCGACTTCCTGATTCTAGGCTTATTTTCTTTTGTGGGGGTGGAGGAAATAAAAGGGAATAAGTCTTGGCACATCTCCTCGGTTGTGCTTCTCTCCTTTCGTGTTTCTTCCCCGCCACCTCCATCTCTTCTGTCCGAGTGTTCCCCGGCCGGGCAGCGGGCTCAGCCCCGCCGCGGGGCTTCGGGAGCGGTGCGGAGCGGGCGGTGGGGCTGAGCCCCCGAGTAAGCGCCGCTGCGGTAACTCCCGCCTGTGGCTCTGACGGGGACACGTCCGCTTGTGCTGTAGTAAGAAAATAGATGTGTGTTTTCACCTTTTATGTGTGCACCTGGGAAGGGAAAGAGAGCACGATTCCCGCGGGTCCTGGCTCCCTCCTTATTAAAGAGGAGCGTTTATCCCTGTCTGACCCATGCGAAGCAGCCGCCGGCGCTCTTCCCCCGGCACTGACCGCGGTGCGTGGGAACGGCCGGCTCCCGGGGTCCGGTGGGTCGGTACCGGTTTTTGCTTTGAGAAACCGGTTTAAAGGGTGAGAAAAGGTTTCTGTCTGTTCAGATCCATCGCTTTTCCTCTGTGTGTGGTGCTCTCTTTTGTGAGTTTGGAGAGCAGGCCCCGGCTGCTGCTGTTCCAGGCTGAGTGCAGTCCTCTTTACCTTGGACATCTGCCAGCCAGGAAAAAATGCAGATTTGGGTGGTTTGGGGTTTTTTGTTATTATTATTTTTTTCTTTCCTTTTAAAGAAAAAGCGGGAGAAGAGAGTTAATAGTTTTTAGAAGGGCTGATGCATGGCTTAAAGTAACTGGGTTAGTCTTTTCGTGACTGCAGACAGTAAAACCGCCCTGAAAGGGAGAAACACCCTGTCCAAAAGAACTAGTTGCACAACCTCTGAAAAGTGGAGAGATTCTCTTGTTCCAGAAATCAAGTTCATACCTGCTGTTGATGTAACATGGCCAGTTTTCCTTTCCCGGTTTTCTTTCTCCTCCCTCCTTCCCCCTCCTCACCTTTTGAAATAGATAAGCAAGGCGACTCCATCCGTGTGCTTGTGTTAAAAGCCTTCTGAGTTGCAGTCTCAGGTGCACGTATCCCGTAGAAGACAGAAAATGTCAGGAGAAATACCCTGTTTATAGTGTTTAATTCTGTCTCTTGTAAAGTGAGGAGGGTGCCAGCTATTTGAGGATTACTAAATAATCAGCAGCTTAGTGATAAAACCCAACAGAGGTTATTCCCAGTATGTTGTGTCAGCAAGTAACTGTTCCTCTGAGGAGAGCAGGAGGCTCAGTGGCAGTTGTGAAGGCAGAAGTGTTTCTTCTGGAAGCATTAATCGATTGATTGGTCTTCATTGGTTTCTACCCACACTTCAGGATAAACAAGAAAATAAGAGGTACAAAATAAAGTGTCATTTGGGAACTGTGAGATACTGGTTTGAAGCAACAGGTATTAGAGCATCAGTATGTGTTGAGGACCTGCCTCCTTGGTCAAGTGATACGACCTAGCAGCAGAATCCAGAGTAATTCTGGAAGTAAAGGTGCTGTAACAAATACATGCAACACTGTTGAGTTTTAAGACTACATTCTGTGCGGTTCAAAAGTTCAAGTCACAGATGAAATTGCACTTTTAAAACCTTCAACCTGACTTGCTCTATTACCACGAAAAGCAGGTATCACCAAAAAGCCCCTGTAGCTGGGCAAAAGTTTTTGTCAGAATGAACTCATAAAGTCAGATCAACATAATGTTTGAATGGAAATTTAAATACAATTGTGTCTTTTCCCCAAATTTTAGAATGAGTTCTGTGAATATAGATGAGAGAAAACTGGTTTAGTTATAACACTGTAGGCATTAAGATACAAAAAAAGCCCTTAATTATTGTGTATTCTGGAACCAAATGTCAGTGCTGGAGACTGAAGTATGCTCACAGGATAGATACCTGCCTCTCTGTCTATCTCCCTGCTCTGATGTTGACCCACATTAACCACAGTGGAACTAATCCAGGTTTCCATTAATGTACCCTGGTTGGTCTGCTCAGCGGTACCTGAGATAAATACCTGTGACAGCCGGTGTGCCACTTGTGCAAGGGGTGTTTGACCCATGTCAGTGCTTTTCGTGCAAACTGCTTTGCATTCCTATGTATTGGGTTTATATTGCTAGTTTTGATACATAGCTGCGGCTGTTGTGGGATGGCAATGTGCTGCTCTGTACTGCTTGGTAGCTGCAAAAGTTGGCTGCGATGGTCTTCTGTACCTGGTGTCTTACATTGCTCTCTGAAAAACAAAGGAAACACAGTTCCTTAGGGATGTTACATTCATTTTCAAGTGAAATGTTAAAGCTCCGTCGAGTGTCCTGTGCAGTGTTTACATGGGGGCTCTGTGTGTATTGCTATGATGTACTTCTGCCCTTTACATTGTTTTGTAGTTTCTGTGCTGTGTATGATTCCATACTTACTTGCAACAGACGTATACAAGCAGACTAATCTTTGTGGGTGGTGTAGGGCTTGACCTGGTTACGTGCAGGCATCCAGTGTTTTTTCAGATGCCCTCCAGTGTTATCTGGCTGCTGCTTGGTGGGAGCAGAGATCTTGCAGGAGACCCCTGTCTCATGCTCCTATTACAGTACTGTGATCGATATGACTGATATGATTGATACTGATATGATTGATATATTGATATGACTGATACGGTGTTCTGTCATTCCTGTATGTGTATATCCTCTGGTGCGAGTAGAGTTTTCTATGTGAACACAGGAGCAAATCATTGAATCATAGAATGATTTGGGTTGGAAAGGACCCTAAAGCTCATCCAGTTCCAATCTTCTGCCACAGACAAGGACACCTTCCACTAGAGCAGGTTGCTCCAAACCCCATCCAACCTGGCCTTGAACACTGCCAGGGATGGGGCAGCCACAGCTTCTCTGGGCACCCTGTGCCAGTGCCTCAGCACCCTCATAGTGAACATTTTTTTCCTAATGTGTGTGTGTGTAGGTATGTATCATGTAAGGTCCTGTCTGTAGCCATTTTTTGTTTTCTTTCTCCTTGATAAATGACCAAACTTTTTTGGATTTGGAAACCAGAATCAATCTGTGCAGCCTTGGCAGCAAGTGCAGAGAGAGACACGGAGATTTAGATATCAACACAATCCAATTTGGTGAGATAATCTAATTAAATACTCTTAAGTGTAGACCTGCTCTTACTCCAGTACCTCAGTGTGTGAATGATTAAGAAAACCCAGATCCCATCACTGAGGGCAATTTCTGACCGATAGCGAAGGGAAGGTAGAACGCCAGCAATCTGCTTAATTTGGGCAATCTGCAAAATACAGCCACTCTGTACAAAATGTTACAGAAGAGACTGGCCTCTCGGTAAAGCCTGTGTATATGGTGAACAAACCACATGCTGAAGTGACAGTAAATACAAATGTGTTATTTCTTGCATATTAAGAGATTTACAGATAAAATACGAAATCAAGATCAATCCCCTGGAGACTTTACAATCAGAGTAGTCCGTTGTAATTTATTTGTTAATTTATAGAGATACGAGACTTTCAGGGAGTGTCGCACAATGCCATTATGGTCCTCAGGGCTGACTTTTGCATTCGGGTATCCATGTATCACTGAAATCACTGGGATATGTTAGCTTTAACAGCAAGATAGCTGACTAGCCAAACCAGTTCCTTCAGGAGGTGTCCTTATCTTCCTTGAGCATGAACTACCTTTCCTTAATAGCGCTACAGAAACAAGCCTAGTGAAAGGTTTACTTCATTTTAGGGAGGATGACAGTATCTTCATGGAACGGCTTTGTGCAGGAACTGTAGATATTGCTACAAACTTCTGCATTAGTCCAAGTTTCGATAGCGTATGTGCATCAGAGGGTGCAGTCACCCTGCGTATGTGAGCGGAGTATGCCAAAAAAGAACTAATATGCATGTTATGTTATAAGCACTGGTGATTACAGGTATGCGAACTTGTGTTGGATGTCATGTTAGTCCTGGATCTGTATTACAAAAAGATCTGTGTAATACAAATGTGGTTGTACTGTCAGAGAAATGCGTTGATTTGTAGAACCGTAATTGAGGGAGCCAGCATTAGCTGTACTTTTAAAAGCATTCTCTGGCATGTCTACATTAGGAGCACCTCCTGGGGTGACCTCATTTGGCAAACCTTTATAATTCAAACTAATCAAAATGGGAACGAGGCCTAATTCTGTAAGAAGATGACCTGTTGGCTAGAATAACTTTTGGAAATAGGTGAATTGCATTATGTATCTCCTGTTTGTGTTCGGCATTACTCAAACCCTCATTCTCCCGTGCTGCTCGCCTTAAGCATTTACTAGGGAAAAACGCAGTTCAGTCAGGGCTCCTCTGGCACAGGAATCGCACTCAACCCAGATAGGTAGGATTTTGCTAGTTTTAGCAGAAAGCGATTGGGAAAGGCAGCATTCTCACTTCTTGTTTCCCAGATTTACTCTGTAGCAGTTGCAGAAGGTGTATAGCCACCAACGAATACTCAAGCAGCAGTTATTGCTGCGCTGGGGATAGTCACCTGCCTTGCTCTCGCCTCAAGGTGAGCTTGAGCAACACGTTTTGCTGTAAGTGCAGTTGAAGTTAGTGCAGAATTTGCCTTTCTGGGTCCTAAGCACCCTTCACCCAGTGCCTGTGATGAGAGCAATGACGAGGAGCTGTGTGACACTGAGGTCTGTGGCAGAAGAGTGGGAATAATAATGGAGGAGTAGCGGATGGGCCTTCACCTCTGGGATGCACCCTTCAAATAAGGGTGATGCAATGCCACATGTCCCCAGGTCTGCATGACAGGGGTGGGATAAAA